AACTGCAAAACCAAGGCATAGAGGAATAGATGATGTGATTGGCGCCCTCGTACGGCGCAACAAGGCTCAGGTAGAGGCTGCCCACGACGATGAGTACGAGCGCTGGAGAACTCAAGAGCCAGAGTGGACAAGCGAACAGTATCTTAGCGATGGCCACCCAGTCAAGTACTGGATTCAATTACGCTCAAAATACCCGTGTTTAAGCCAGTTTGCGATTGATATACTCACGATACCAGCATCTAGTTGCGACTGCGAGAGGCTCTTTAGCGAGCTTGGCGATTTACTTGAGCCGCGCCGGCGAGCTCTTGGCAGCGAGTTACTTGCTGCCCTTCAGCTTGTACGTTCGTGGAGACGAGCTGGCTTTGACGGCTTGTACAACAACGGTGATGATGAAGATAAGTGGAGTGACGTCAAAGATGAGGAGATTGTACAACAGTACGATATAGAAGGCTGGAGTACAACACCATAACCCCCTGTATACTACTTCTTAGCATCAATCAGCCAATCAACCAATCAATCGCAATCAATCTGCTCAAAAACCCTAACAATCAATCCGCAATCAATCAGCAGCGTCGCCGCAAGCTAATCAAACCAATCGACAACCTTAAGATTGATTGATTTGATTGTTGCGGAGTCTGCTCTTGCCTGCCCCCGTCGGCATCACCGCTACTACGGGACTCTCGCCTGCTGTGATGGCTTTGATCGCTGCCTCCTGAACGCCCCGGAACTCGGCCTTTTCGCCCATCATGCGCTTCAGCTGCCATACTTGTCAACGAGCGAGCCGGCTCGCTCAGCTCGCTCGGCTTGGACGTTTTGACCAAGCCGAATGAGCTGAGCGCGCAGTGCGCGCTTGCAAGCCGAGCGAGCTTAGGGATAGGCGCTCGCTCAGTCAGCTTGCTTAGCTTGGTTGGATGGAGCGGTTGGAAACTTGGGGCTGAAGGACTTGGTGGAGGGGCAATCTCACGATGATTTTTAGGTGTAGTGCGTAAGTTCGAAACCTAGTTATAACCTAAAATACACTCTTTTTTGCTATATTTCTAGCAAATAAGCTACTAAACTTCCGGCTAACGGCCTGGCAACAATATTCTCCTTCTGCGACACTTCACTTACTACTTATCACCCACCACACTCACCTATACTCCACCAACGCGTCTCTATTTGCAGCTATTATCTACCTCGCCGTTGCTATAATGCCAGCAAAAAGAACATGCGTTAATGCTCTAGAAATCGCGACAACTTCGAAGCGCCCTAGAGTCGCAGCGCGTCATCGCGGGACTGCCAGCCAACCTGTGCTAGTCGATACTCAGCCATTCTCACCATCTCCACCTCCTCCACCGCTGTCGCCGCGTCAAGCTCTCGTTGCCGCGCCACAAGCACCAAATTTTGAAGCGACCCTCCGAGAGTCGCGCGCCGAAGAGACGATCATCCCACCACCTAAGGGCAGCGAGCATGCCACTGTTGCAGCTTCAGGAGCAGCTAGCGAGGCTGTCGACAAGGGTTTCGTATAGGTAGAGGACAAATACGACGGCTTTAATTAGAGTCGCTACCCAAAGCACTGCAAGCCGCCCACATCACTTTCGAACCGAGCAAGCTGGGTATACAGCCATGGCTATCGCATCGCCTTGCGCAGCAACGTCGCAAAAGTTACGTGGATCTGCCACTATTGCTATAAGCACAAGTTCACTACTGTTGGCCGTGGCATACATAACGTCTCGCAGTCTCCATCAGCGCCAGCACGTCATCTCGGAGAAGACAAGAAAGTTCATGGCTTGAAGCCTCCAAGTAAGCGCACTACCGTCGCTCCTCGGAAAGAAACTCTCCTCGAACGCGCCCTTCAGAAGGGCTGCTCTTAGGCTGTTGCCAACGAGCTTACCAACTTCAATATACAAGAGTTTAGGCTTGCGGCCGTTACCTAGCTCGTCGAAAACAACCTCCCACTCTCACAATTCGAATCATCGTCTTTTCGCAATATGATATAATTAGCTAGCGTAGAGGCAGAACGAGCCTTGTGGGCATCTTATAACAGCGTCTCACGATACGTTATACGCCTGTACAACTACCTGTTACTAAAGGTTATCGCAAGCCTTTCAGAATCAATGAGCAAAGTCTATGTAAGCTTTGACGGATGGACGACAAAAGGTGGCAAGCGCGGTTACTTAGGTATCGTCGCCCACTACGTTGATAGCTCTGGCGAGCTCAGGGACTTGCCTATTGCGCTCCCACAACTGACAGGTGCCTACACCGGCGAGGCTATGGCTGAGGTCGTGATGGCAATATTCAAGCAGTTCGAAATCACTGTGGGCAAGCTCGGTTACTTCGTCCTCGACAACGCACATAACAACAACACCACGATTAACACTCTCGCCTTGCAGATAGGCTTTAGCGCTACTGAGCGTCGCCTTCGCTGCGGTCCTTATACGCTTAATCTCATTGGCCAGATGCTACTCTGGGGTGAGGAGAAAGAGTCCTACGACAACGAGGAGACTGAGCGCGTGAACGAAGCTGAGAATATGGCTACTTGGCGAGGCGATGGACCATTAGGAGTGCTTGTCGCGGTTATTAACTACATCAAAACACCACAACAGTACGCTCTTTTTGAGAAGTATCAGAAGCTCGCTATTAGGGACCAGCCTGTCAACGCGCCAACAGAACAGCACAAAATCAAGGAGCCCGTTAAGCTAGTTGTTACTCGCTATAACTCTTACGTTTCGTGTTTTAAGCGCGCTGTTGAGTTGTAATTAGCGGTTAATAGGTACGCCAACTACCATATTTAGCACAGTCCGCAACAATCAATTAAGTGGGTCCTAGAAGGTTCAGATTGGATTGATTGATTACCGCTTTAAGCCTAGTAGTTACCTATAGGAGTTTAAGCCCTACCTAGATAGGTAAGTGGGTCTAGGAGAGTGACCGGATTGAATTGATTGTTGCGGAGTCTAGGCTTCACAAGCTGCCGGATGTGGGGTGTAACACCTAGAGACTCTGCCTCCTCGCACTGTAGGCGCTCTAGTAGTTGTCGAGTTTGAGGCGTACAGATAGACGCAATCACGTCAAAGAGGACGCCAACAGGACCGTATTTGCGCCACTCATCCATGTACTTCTCCTCTTCCTCAAGGTGTGCGGCTTCATTCTCGTACGCGCTACGGTCTTTGCCCCAAATTACTAATTGTGCGCTTAGGTTGAGTATATGGCAGCAGCACCGCAGCCGCCGCTCGCTTGCGATAAAGCCAAACTCCTCTGCTAAGGACTCAACTGCAGTATCATTGTTACTTGCGTTGTCAAGCACAAAGTACCCAACCCTCGCGTTGTCAACGCCAAATAGCCGAAATATTGTTGTTGCTGCAGCGGCAATATTATTGCCAGTGTGCGCCCCGTGTAGCTCAGGCAACCCAAGCAGGTGGTCAACTAGCTTGCCCTCGCTGTTAAGGTAATGTACGCAGAGGCCAGTAAAAGCATACTGCCCACCAGTTGAAGTCCAGTTGTCGAATGACACGTGTATAAGCGACCGGGCTTCGCGAAGGTAGTTGGCAACAGCTAGTATGTATGTATTGTACTCAGTAATAATATGATCGTGGAGCGTTTAGTGGCTACGCCAAAGGAGAGCTTCGGCTAGCGGGCTCACGGCCGCAATCATGGCTCGAAACTGCGGCGTTTCTATTACGCGAAGGCTCTGGTTGTCCGCGACTACCCAGTCCTTCAGCGCGTCCTGAAATCGAGAGGTTGAAAAGCTTGCTGCTATCTCGTTTGCTACCTCTTGCGATACTTCTATCCCTTTAGACCTCATAATATATACTTGGGACTTTGCGAGCGCGCCCATAATATTGCCCTCCCGGCTAGCAATTGGTACAGGTCCGTTAGGTCCGTGTGAGTGTCCAGGCTTGTTGCTTGAGAGGTGTCGGCCGGCGTTTGTAGTGCTGTCAGCCTCGTAGCAAGCCTCCTGCTTCCGTCGTTGATGGCAGTACCGGCAAAGCCAGTAGTTTTTCTTGTACTTGCGGTGCCAGACGGCCCAGCCGTGGCGGTAGATCCAGCTTTTTGGCCCACCGCGACTATTACGCTCAACCTGGCGCCGCTCAAGATACGGCACACGCTTAAAATCAAGCCCGTCGTAATTGTCGTCGTCGTCGTCGTCGTCGCCGTCGTTGGGGAAGTCCGCCTGTACTGCCAAGGGCTCATCAGCCTGGGCCTCGCTCGCAGTATCGCCAACAGTAGGCGCGTTTGATAGCGATGGTAGAGGAGAATTGCGCTTGTCGCATTCTACAAGGCGGCGAAGGCCTGAATTAGAGGGAGTAGACATGAAGTACACCAAGAAGTATTATGGCAACAGTAGTCTAGCGTCGTGTGTATAGCAGACGCGACGCGACGCGACGCGAAAGGCTTACTAGGTGCGCACCGGGTAGCGCATTTCCGCAAACTCTAATTAGCTTAAAGCTAGATGCTTTAACTTATATAGGATTAGTGTCTTTATATCTAGGACTAGCGCGGCTTCGAAGCCGCACTAAATGTGGCTTTCACAACTCTAAAATACTGCTTTAAAAACAGCTAACGTCAGTCTAACGTCAGTCAGTTCAGTCAGTCTGGAGGCTTCTGAACTGACTGGACTGACGTCCAGCTGCCTCAAGAACTGACTGACTGAACTGAGTCTTGGCAGTCAGTTCAGTCAGTTCGAACTGAGTTACCTGACTGATAGCAAGTCTGATCGTGCGTTCCCTGAGCTCCGTGGCGAGACACGCAAAAAGCTGGAAACTGCCGAGAAGAAGCTCAAGGACCTCGGCACGCCTCGCAAGACAGAGCGTGAGCAACAGCAATACCTCGTCGGCATTGCGAGCGACTTCCAGACCCTCGTTCGTGCCGCGCTGAATGCTGATTATTCAGCACATTCGGTATTTAACAGGAACGAGTTGCGGCTCATCACAGCCATCGTCAACACTACGGAGCAGTTCAACACGGATTTCGTAAATATCGCTCGCACGTATCTCTTTGAGTCCGAGACGCAGTTTGCGGCCATGGTTCCTGTGGGAGTGGTCACCCCCGCAAGCCCTGATTTCCACGAGGAAGAAGAGGTGGAAGAGGAAGAGGAAGAGGAAGAGGAGGAGGAGGAGAAGGGGGAGGGGGAGGAGGAGGGGGATGACGATAGCATTCTGCAGCTTGATGCATTTGACGTTCCTGATTCCAAGGCATTCCCTGACCTGGAAAGGATCATCGTCTCGGATTGGAGCATCGACCTTCCCCAGAAGGGTATCATGAAGTGGATTAAAACTATCCACCAGAGCTCTCGTGGCCTTGATCTGGGCTCTCTCGGCCACGGCGTTCTTCCAAGTGTTTTCCGGGAACAATCAGCGAAATGGGAAATGATCGCGAAGCAATACCTTAGCAAGATCATCCTCTTCGTCCATCGCTTCATCCTGAAGGCACTGGAGGTCGTCTGTGCAGATACACAAGTGCTTCAGCTTGTATCATCCGCCATCATAGTCGAACTCTGCGCTAAGTACAAGGATGGCATGAACCAGGCAACCTTCCTGGTCAACGTCGAGCGGCAGCTGAAGCCGTACACGCTGAACCACTACTTTAACCACAACCAGCAGAGGAGTCACGGCGCGCGGATCAAAGAGACGCTGCGGCCTAAGGCCCGACAAGAGGCGCATAATACAGGCTGGGGCAAGCGCAAGATGCTTGTCATCAATCTAAGTGATGTTGCGGATGCCGTCATGTTGCGGTGGAGTGAACAGTGCGCATGTGCGGAGAATTGAAGGATTGAACTGAGGTTGTATTGTCTGAGTCTACAAACTGTATATGTAGGTGGGTGACCGTCAACAGCGCTAGTCCCAGATAGGCATCGGTCCATTACAAAGGTAAGTTGCGACTACAGGAGCAGAGCAGGAGAGACCCCAAACCGTGACAGATCTGCAACAGTGGCTCTAGAGTATTTGCTTGCAAGGTGCTGCTGAATATAACATTCGCTGAGCAGAAAGAAAACGGCCGAGAGAAGGACTGGGCGTCCTGCATTCACACCTGAGATCAATCAATCAAGCAAGCTGACAGCCCCCGGCTTGATTGATTGGCTGTTTGTATGAGATTTGGCTGGATTGATTGAATTGGCTTGGCGGAAAGTTGTTAGCTTGATTGGTAGCTTGGGTGCTTGATTCCCAAATAGGAAAGTTGTATATATTTTTTGGTGTTGAGTCTCAGCCGTCGTCCCATGTATCTAGATCGTCGTCTTCGCCCACCCACTTGCTAAGCTCGTACAAAACGTCCATCTGCTCGTCGGTAAGCTTTGATTGGCCCATATCGTCGTTGTCGCCGCCACCAAAACCTGCCCGTCTCCATCGTCGTACTGAGTGTAGTGCTGCTAGTAGCTCAGGTGATATACAGCGTCGGCGAGGCTCTGGTAGATCTCCGAGCTCACTGAAGACGCGCTCACACTCACAGCTTGAAGCGGGTATAGAGAGTATAGTAAGCGCCATCTTACTAAGGTTGGGATATTGATCGCGCAGCCCGAACCAGTATTGTATAGGATCGGTGCCCTTGCCAACGATTGGCTCGCGCTTCCACTGCTCATACTCATCCTCCTTAGTATTGCCGCGTGTGGGATCAATAATGCCGTCAATCGCGTCGTCAATATTGCTCGGTTTCTTCGGTGCGCGTGTGTAGCAAGGCCTCGGTAACGGCAGCGACTTGTAATCCGCCCACAGTGCCTGGAAATTAAGATTATTAAGCGCCAGCCAGTCAGGCTTCTCAGCCCACGCTTGATCGCAGTAGTGTTTGTAGCGAGGATGGAGTATTGTAGCAGCGTAGTAAGCTGGCGAGTCGTCGAGTTTAGCGTAGTACTCGTTCGCCTTAAGTAGCGCTGCGCGTAGATTAATAGGAAGGTGATCTTCGGGTGCCTCGTCGTGAGCGTCATGGACTACGCAATCGTAGTAGAGGAGGCGAGCTTCTAATTGAGTGAGTAGAAACTCAAACGTTGGGATCACCTCAGCGATCGCGCCAAAGCTATACTCGCCACGTCCCTCAAAGCGCTTTGTACACTCTTTAAGTGGCCTAAGAACCTCTATATAGTCGGTAACAACAGCCCAATCGGCAGCTGTGAGGCCGTCTGATCTCATCCACTGTGGAGCAGCAGGCCGATTTTTGCCCTGTGAGTCGGCGTAGATATCCTCTTTTGCTGTATTTTGTATGTGGGTGTTCGCGTACGCGTTGATGGCCGGCGCGAGCTTTATAGCTCGCTCAAAACAGTCGAAGTATGAGTTCCAGCGTGTGACTACTGGCTTGATTGGCTGTAGTATCGTGAGCTTGTCGTCTGCGTCGTGAGGTAGCTCACGGTAAGCTGTACGCTGCGCCTTCTCAAAAAGATTGTACTGCTGCGGTGTGTGGATATAGTTGACAATATCGAGAAGTACGCCTAAAGGCCCGTGCTTTCGCCACTCCTTTATAAACGCTGCCTCGTCGGCGAGCTCGTCAACTCCCTCGTTGTTGTATGAGTCTGCATCTCTGCCCCAGAGCAGTCTCTGCCCAATCAGATTGATCGTATGAGGGCCACAGCGGAGGCGTCGGTGTATAGGATTGAAGTTAAGCTCGTGGGCAATCGCAGCGACAGCGGTGTCGTTATTAGGGGCATTGTCGAGGACGAAGTAACCGAGTGTGCGCTCGCTTATGCTAAACTGCTCTAAGATTGATAATACAACCTCAGCTAATCGATCGCCGGAGTGAGCGCCTGTGAGCTGAGGCAGCGCGATAGGCAGGTCTCGGAGCTTGCCATCTGAGTTGACGTAGTGGGCGACGATACCGAGAAACCCGCGCTTGCCGCCTTTCGTTGTCCATCCGTCAAAGCTTATATGGATCTTGCTAAGCGATTGTGACAGCTCGTGGACAACGCGGGGCCTGAGCCAGTCAAACAGTCGTATGACGTATTGGGAGACGCTCTTGTGGTTCTTCCAGAGCGCTGCTTCTGCAAGTGGGTTGGCGATAGCAATTAGGCGTCGAAAAGCTGGTGTTTCGAACTCAGAGATGGGGTGGTTGTTCGCGACGAGCCAGTCTACTGCGGCAAACCTAAAGCGCTGCTTGCTAAACCCGTTAATCTGATTAGCTACTGCCTGTGAGATAGGGACTCTCGCAGTGGTGAGCGCGTTGTAAACACTAGCAACTGGAGTCTTGCCTGGTGCTACTAGCCTATGGCCAGGTTTCTGCTCGCTGAGGTGGCGCGCGGCTGACGAGACTGCTGCGCTTGTATTGTATATCCCAATACCAATATCCGTGAGCTTGTGCTTGAAACACCAGTGGCAGATGAAGAATACGCGGGTTGGATCTTTGAGAAGAGCGACGCGATAGCCGTGGCGATAGATCCAACTCCGCTTGTGTTGGTGCGTCGTGATAGGCTTCGTATACAGCTTAAGGCGACCCCAATCTATGCCATCATAATTGTCTTCGAGATGGGCGTCAAAAGCCTCATCTACAGCGTCGTCGGCGGCTTCAGAAGACGGAGCGAGCGTAGCTTGCTCACTGCCCTCGGCGGGCGCGACGATAGCGTCTTCGGGCTGCGACTCGCGCAATCGCGACTCGAAAGTATGTGTATATGGAGGCGGCGGAGATAGAGCAGATGGCTGAGATTGATATGACTGCGAGTCGATCGCGACGGGCTGGCTCGCAGTGCCGCGCGCGCGCTTTCTAGGCGAGGGAGCGCTATCAGAGACGCGTTTTTTGGGCGGCATGAGGGCGACGATGAGGTGAGGTATACGGCGATAGATCTGCAACACCAAAAGTATATAGTATTGTGGGTGATGGAGATGGAGATGGAGTATACTATATGAGACGACGCGCTGGCTGCTAGTTACACGGAGCTATCGGATATTACTCAATGTTACACGGCGTAACTAAAACACCAAAAAAAGCTCAGTATAGAGCTTTTACAGCTATCTAAGCTGCCTCATGGGCTGCCTCATCACCGAAATCTACTATATACTTAAGGCAATCAATAGACTCCGCAACAATCAATTCAATCCGGTCACTCTCCTAGACCCACTTACCTATCTAGGTAGGGCTTAAACTCCTATAGGTAACTACTAGGCTTAAAGCGGTAATCAATCAATCCAATCTGAACCTTCTAGGACCCACTTAATTGATTGTTGCGGACTGTGGCAATCAAGCTATCAATCTGAATCAAGCTCACGGAAAAGCTCAGCTGGATTGATTGCGTTTTTGTATGAGGTTTGGCTGGATTGATTGAATTGGCTTGGCATCAATCTTCCAATCAAGCTATCAAGCTAGCTTGATTGATCTCAGGTGTGCCTGCATTGCCGGCCTTGGATGCGGCGTCGCTGATAAATTCCATTTCCTGAGCTGTGTGCTGTAACTGCGTGAGCAGTGTCGGGTGGAGGCTGTGGATCAACGATTGTATTGCTATCTGTTGTCGTGTTGTGATGTGTGTGTCCAAGAGCTCTCGGCTCAGAGGTAAGTGCACTTGCCCACCGGGCAGTGCCTGCTACAATAGGATATCATGTGACTCTAGTCACGTGGTTACATGTGCGCTTCTGGCAGCTGCGGGAGCGGGACTCGACGATGGGGAGCGGATGCCATTTACTGTCGTGCTTAATGAGAATGTAACGTGAGGAGACCGGAATTTAAGACGAAGAAAGATGTTTCCCTCTTGCGATGTTTCTTAAGTTGTTCTTGCTAGGCGCCAGCCTTGCTGCTTTAATCACTACCAACCGTATCTTTCTATTGCTTGTAACAGTGCTTATGCGTGTGACGGAACAAGCGAGAACCAACCGCATGGGGCTGTTCTAGCTAGGATAATAAGCCTTAGGTTGTACAATTGGTCCTCGCCACAAAAGTTGGGAATCCGCATGTACTTTAGCAGCCGCCTGGCACCGCGACGTGACCGTCTCGGGTACTCTTCCGTACTCGTGCTGTCCTCCAAATCCTTCCACCGGCAACTGACTCAATACGTGTGGTGCACCTAGCAGTGGCTGTTGTCTACGTTTGTGACGGTTAAGATGACTTCTATTCAAGCGAGTAGAAGGTTAGCCTTTTGCTCCGCAACAGTTATGAGCCCGGGATCGCTTGATCCTGCCCCAGTAACACCTTGGTGGTTTACTGGTAGGGTGGGTGACCGCATGCGAGCTGTGCACACCACAATTAGCCAAGAACACTGCGCATGACAGCTGCAAAGCTGGGAGCCAGCTGTTAGGGCCACGGACGTAGAATACCAGATGCTCGGAGCAGAATATACAGGGCATGTTGCACTGCGGTCAACATGTATGAAAACCTTGAAAAGCTACCAGCTCTGCGCTATTGCTACGATCTGGGGGGGTGTGTGACGGTTAAGATGACTTCTATTCAAGCGAGTAGAAGGTTAGCCTTTTGCTCCGCAACAACGTTTCTGGCCTAAGGGGCACCGAGAAATTGTGTTGCACGCTAGCAGGGCTATCCCTACACTCTCTCATTCCTCACATATATATAGCTTCCCTCGTTCATAGCTATACAATCAACTCAGTCCTTCATCTCTTCTTCCATATCACATACATGAGAAATTGAGATACGAGTGGATCCAAATAAGTCGCTTACACGTCAACACTGATCAAGAGCTTATCCGTCCCCTCACATGATTGTTGCGGTGTTCCTTGTTTAATTGATTGCTTTCCTTACCCACAAAATGGACAGACAGTCTAGGCAGCTTCGACTTAGATAACACAACGCCTTAGCAACGACACTCTCAGAATCTCTTATTTCTTGACCTACGCCCTGGCCGGAGATGTCGTCCCGTGACGACTACACAGTCAGGTGGGCTTACGCACTACCTATAGAATAGACTCCGCAACAATCAATTCAATCCGGTCACTCTCCTAGACCCACTTACCTATCTAGGTAGGGCTTAAACTCCTATAGGTAACTACTAGGCTTAAAGCGGTAATCAATCAATCCAATCTGAACCTTCTAGGACCCACTTAATTGATTGTTGCGGACTGTGGTCTGCAGAGCCTAACCCTTCCTGAACAAGCGCATATGTAACAGAGTAAGGAGAGGAGGAGGACTGCGTTGCATTATATAGCTATGAAGGAGGGCAGCTATCTATATGTATGTGTAATAAGAAAGTATAGTAGCGATAGCCATACGCAACTCTCACCTAAGTTGGTCTTGGCAAGGCCCAAACCGTTACAGCATACTAGGCGGGTCAATGTGCTGCACGGGATCAAAGGCGAGCGGCATGCAAAAAGCGGAAACTGCAAGTGCATGTGAGTGTACAATATATTCTTGCACCCTCTCGTTGTGTCGTAAGGTACACGAGGAAAACTGTAGCTTGATTTTGCGTGCAAGCCCACTTGGAAAGCACAAGCTGCTTACCAGTAACCTAGTTAAAGAGAAGCGTGTTAAGTGAGACTTAAGAAGGTGCGGAGAAGAAGCGAGCCGCAAAGCTAGCTAGAAAGGGGCGCCAGAAAGCAGCTCGCGGGTGGACCGCGCTGGGGCAGCTAGGGTAGCACTAGCAGCTTCTGCATGCGATGGAACAACAACAGCACGTTTTTGACGCTTTCTGGGTGGCCTGGAGGGTTATAAAGCCTTGCGCCTACCTCTTTGGGACAATTTTATAGATTTTCGAGCGTCGCACATGGTTAATACAGCCACCCAGAAAGTGTTCTAAGTAGATAGAAAGTCTTGCATACGTCGGCGGATCAATACCTCAAGAAGTCTCGCGCTAATAGCTTTTGTGTGGACGTCTACAGCCTCATTTTTCTGGTATGTTCATGTTGTTGTGATGGGTTATTGGGCGATCTGAGTCATTGCGCGCGCCAAGATGATATGCTGCTGACACTAGCTCTGATGATCCGCTTTCATCTCCGCTGTCCTCTCCGCCCACTATGTTGTGCTGATCACGTCAAGTATCGCGCGATCTTCCGCCGGTATCCATCGGTAGATGGGTCTGCACGGACACGCGTTGACATTTCTACGGCGACGGGGAGCCGCTAGCGTCTGGCTCAAAGCATCACCAAATTATCGCAGCATTTACACGATATGCAGCGGCCCTGCATTTCTATGCTCACAATATCGCACGTGCTGGCGGGGTCACTGTAGTGGCTTGGCATGCCCGTGGGCGCAATCGTGTTGCTTGGTCAACTATACACCCTCCTCACCTCGGCGGCCTTTGGGCGTCGGAAACTCTTACACGCTCAACAACAAGACGGCCATGCCGTACGCTCGCCCTCCAGCCCCGCCGCCCTTACTACCCGATTCACCGCCGCGACGTCACATCCTCTTCCGCCACCCTGGCTACGACGACAGTAACAACGTGCTCTTCAAACTGTATGCGATCGACGCGGCGACGGTTGGCAGTCACGACGGCGAGGAAGAGACTTCTCAGCGGCCTGGAACTTCAGGTCTTTACGCCCAATTCGCACTCGACGCCTGCGCAATACTCGCAGGGAATCGTTTCAACGGCTGGCTTTCGACATCACGCAACCCCGACGAAGCGCGCGACGCCCGAGTCGATGCCGGTAGCACATTGGTCGCACGCAGCTATTACTATCACCTCGACCGCGACGATGATATCGATGGACCTGACGGACCGTATCGCATCGTCCCCAATTTTCGCGAATGGCGTTTTCCGCACGAAGACATCCCCGCGCATTGGGTGCAGCTTTCAGCAAACGCGACCGCTCAAGATTCGACCTTTTCACGCTCTAACCTTACATTGGCCTTGCAAATTCGCGATGGAAGCTGTCGTATAAGCGGTTATCGAGAAGAGCTACAGGTTGCGCATATTGTACCGCAGGCTGAACTGGATTGGTGGATGGCCAACAGCATGTCCCAATACAATCGTAGTTCGACCAGCAGCATGGACGATACAGGCAATGCGATGCTCTTGCAAGCTAGCCTCCATATTGCCTTTGACAGGCCCCGATTCGTCTTTGTGCCGAAGCCTTCGGGTAACGATGATGGGATGCGTTTAGTTCTCCATCTGCTCGAGCCTTCAGCAGAGTTCGCGCACCTATACCACAACCGTGAGCTGCACCAATCAGACGTCGGCGTTGAGATGCTGTTCGCGCGCTTCGCATGGACGCTGTTCCCACTACTAGAAGCTTTCCTTTCGTGTAAAAAGGACCGCCGCTTGACTGTTCGCACCACTTCCCACGACCAGGTTCTCGATGGTGGATACTTTACAGCCGCGGCATGTGAACGGTTCTCCATGTCATCAACTAGGACGCGGTCGGTAAGCCCCAAAAAACGCAAACCGGATGAGGGCGCGATCGACAGCAATAGTGTTGACGATATTGATGTCCGTAAGCCCATCCAACCTTCAGATGACACAAACACATCTGGTTTTGCACCAAATCTCCGAAAACGATCGATTGGATGCATAGATCACGAACCCCCTATGCCTTGTCAAACGCCTGGAAGCAATAAACGACGGAAAGCGTCACCTGTTCCCGAACAGTCGTCATTTTCATCCACGGTATCACCAACCTCACCAACCGAATGCTCTACCCACTCCCATGACGATGCAGAAGAATCATGTATAGTGGTATCTCATAACTCACAATTAGCACAACAATGGCTGGAAAAAGAACGTGAACGCTCCGATCCCGAACAGACTTGGACAAAGGATATGCTCTGGGTACAAGAGGTGTGGGCCGGCAAGACCATAGCCAGCCATGAAGTTCCGCGGTTTTGGAATCTGAGTGGGTATGAAGTGAGGGATATGGGATCTGACGATTTGTTAGCAGGAGTTGGGCCCGCTGAGTAGGTGAAATGCGCCTGTCGGACAATGGGCCTGCGAGCACTTTCGCGGTGTATTTTGCTTATTCTATTGTTAGTTACGCTTCTGCGAACAATTGGTAGAAGGGCGTTACTAGATTCGACTATTTACAAGATACCCATATATTCTTTTTCCCAATGTACTCTATTCATATTATACACGACCACGCTAATTGTCGAACAATTAATACCATAATGCGTGCCGCTTAACACTTAACATTCTTCTTGTATTGCAGTCTTTCAAGAACGTGTAAAGTGCTTTGATTGAAAAAATACCAATATTCAAGCTACACACTTTTAGCTAATCTTGATTTCTAAACTGCCATGATAGTCGAAGGAATTCAGTAAGAAGACCCTCAGATAATCTCATAGTTCTGGACATGCCTGGCGCCCCCCTACCGGAACCGTTATAAGCAGCCTCACCCGCCGCCTACCCACATCAACACTCGCTGCTGCAAAATACAAAAACCATGCAAATTCTGGTAACCTCCCTTCTCACGAATAGTGTCGCAGTATATGCAGTCAATCAAAGTGTGTCCGCGCGAGGCAGTCATCAGTGTATTCTCTGTTCCGTCTGTTGTTGTGCTGTCATGGCCACCTTATATGTAGCCATAATCAGGGTCTATTTACATGACGTATCTCTGATGCTGGTAAGGGGAGAAGGTGCTCATGGAGGGGAGGGAGGAGCGCTAGGACAACGCACGTGACATGCGCAATACCCTTGCCTCACAAACCGCAACAAATAGAATGGTGTATCCAGGCACCCAAAATCGACATCAATTCTATCAAGGCGCTCATCACAGTCCACACTTCTTACGTGAAGCTTGTCTGTTCTTGTCACAGCTTTGGTGCTGACCGTGACGCTGACGCTAATGCACCAAGTCGCTGATTGAAAGCAAGCGCTAGTGGCAAGCGGCGGTTGGTTCCGCACTTCCCACCTCGAATTGGCTCTAGCCAAACGACTGACGCGGATCGGCATGCACGACCCATCATGTGAGCTCGCAATTGGCTGTAGCTGCGCCTAATCTCATTGCTCTTTAGTATACCAATTTACTGTTGAAGACTTGTTGTTATTATCATTTGAGAGAACCTCTCTGTAGTCGTACCGCGCGATAGGTAGAATGCGTACGCATTTCGTGCTGTCGATCATTTCTTATAGGATGCAATAAGATTGTAACAGCTTCACACTTATGTTAGAACATTCTCGTGTTTAGTTGTGTATAGCTTGGAGTTTCTACGATATAGCTAAAGACAAAAGAAGATTTTCCCTAGCTTTAGAGACTACATTGAATAGTAACTACGATATCCGAACTTATCTAGGTCAGCTTGCCGGGACACGCCCAGATGTGCTACAGTGCATAAACACCAGCTAATAAGCGATCTTAATGGCAGCAAAGGTGATTTAAAAATGCTATCGCCATCACACAGCGATGGCGAACCCTCTGTGTTCGGGGCGACACGAGCATAGCGAATGGTTTCGAGATTTATCGTACGCGCTGGCAGGCTACTCAAGCAGGAAGGAAGACGGACGGAACGTAGGCGGTCCGATGGTGTAGTGGAAGGCCAACATAACGGCGGTCAGAGTTTCAATCGAGTTTGTGAAGGACACGGAAAGGCTGCAGGCGGAGAGGCAAGACAAAGCGAGCGAAGAATGCCAAGGATGCCATCACCCACAAGATGAACAGACTACGAGCAAGCCTGGAGTGACGATGCTTTCGCGATTGCGTGGACGATGAAGAAGCGTATGACGTAGGAATAGCCCTACAGTTCCAGGGCGCCCAGCTGGCTCCTTCGGGGTACATGGCCATGATAAAACACACGCGCGGCGGGAACGGACAGATTGGCTTGGCATCGCGTCGCGTCGCGTCGCTGTGGCGGGTCCAAGCGTGAGACCTGCCAGATCGCCCGAGCAACCTTGTCAGCCCCACGAAAATCAACAACACCCAGCAGCATTGCCCATCGTGTTCTGTCCGACCTCCCACCTGTTAGAGCGCCATGCCTATAGCTCCATGGCTCTGTGAAGAGACGATTCGACTGCATTCATCATCTTTAAACGCTCACCACGATCCTGTGTTGTTCTGGGTTTCGCAGGCTCCTTCGCCTCCACCATCAATCGCATCCCACGGGAAACTGAAGAGATCATACAGCAAACATATCGCGACCGGTATGTATAGCCGAGACCCATCTCCTCCAAAGCGCCGTTGTCTCGAAGGGGCCGAGAATGCGTCGTTCGCAACCGAAGACGTCGAGATGACGCCCCAGGCGAAGTCCAATGTCGCTGTGGGACCGCCATCGCCCTCTTGTTTCACTTCTTCAGGTAGCATAACCCACTCCTCTCAGTCTCTCCAATCAAGAAGTCCGAGGAAGAAACAGCCTCTACGAAAAATGGCCAATCTCTCCTTACTACCAAACCCAGTGGTAATGAAGTCTATCGACGACGCTACCGCGACTCCTCCGAATGAACTGGAAGAGATAGTTGTACAATTAAGACGGATAGGCCGAGGACTTGGGGTTATATCACGGTCTGAAAAGGTCGGTTAATGTGGCTTCTCTCTACACATTAAGCTCATAGATTGAGGATGCTATGGCTTCCATGTCATCGGATAGATCGTTTCGCCAGATATACACCGACGAACTAGCATTCGTGGATGATATAGATCGAGCATCCCTCGGACCATGTCCACACCCACGAGAAGTCGCCAAAGCAGTCAGCCTTGCCACAGAATGCGAGTCGAATGAACATAGCGAAGCATCTTGGAACGGCAGAGTGCATACATACCTCTTAGACCTCGCTCTTTACAATGACGTGTTCAAGGGTAAAGTGGGCTTCTTAGATTGGTGGGTTTTTTGATATCGCACTGTCTATAGTGGTTGCTTACCTAGTTTTTAGTTCCAAGGCTCGTATTGAGCCGGACTCATTGCTGCCCAAAGATTACACTGGTCTTTCCATCGAATCAAAGATGGTTGATTTTGCTGTATATCTTGACCCGGACGATACTACGCACGATGCTCTCCGTCAACTCGCTGCTCGAGATCCCTTTACCACGGCGTCATGGAATCACACCTGTTACCCGCCATTGCAAAAGCGTCCCCTCGCGATGAGCATTGAAACAAAGTTAACAGGAAGGGACTGGGATACGGCCAAGATACAGATGAGCATCTGGGTGACTGCTCAGCTGAACAAACTGGAACAATTAGTGGCGCAGGATGGTGGAGGGTTACCAGGACTGCCATTCCTCCCTGTCATTGTGACTCAAGGGCATGAATGGTATTTCTTGGCTGCCACTAGAAGTAAAAGGGAAACGGTTTGTCTAAGGGTTTGCAACATCGTAAACAGTATCTTACAGTGTACAGGTCCTTTGGGAAAAGGTACTTCTCGGCTCAACGCAGAATGCGCTAGGGGTGTATCAAATAATTGCCGCCTTGCAGGTACTAGGACAATGGTGCGAAGAAGTCTACCGTCCTTGGTTTAGGGCGCATGTGATTGGTGTAGCATAATTAAATGCAAGATTAACCCACCAGTTCATATTACTAGCAGAAATAGACTTTGGCTATGTCCTAGTGCCTATCCCATGCGCCGAGGTGATACAATCCAGCTAGGGCAGGGCCCGGCGAGGGCAGTCAGCACTTTGAAGGATCAGGACTCGGCAACCATGCCGAAGTCACGTGACCGCTCGTTGACGAACGCCCACAACCCAGCCAATCACCAAATGCTCATCCACGAGCATCATAAATCCTACTAGTTAGATGTTTGGACCTGTTGACACGGCAAAGGTGTCGAATACTAGCAGTCGTTGCAACGAACAAAGTGTATAGTATTTGATTAGTAGTGAGCAAGAGCTGGGTGGAGAGATCTCCATATGTACAGTTGCGAGCTGAGCGGGAAGCTTGGTCCACCTACTGGTCCAAGCTTCTGGCCCGGAAAAACTCGCCGGGCTGGCTGTACGCGCATGTCCCGACAGGACCCTCCGTAAGCAATATAGCGCTCGTCTACGAGCATAACGTTCTTTAAAGTATATTATTATTATTATTATTCCATTAGAGTCCTTTTTCAGTCAGAGACTATGTAGGAATTTGGCCGGAGGCCGTTCTATCTTGGTTTTTCTTATCTACTTGGCTTTCTGGTGTGGTTTGCTATTGTGGTTTTGGCTTTTCTTCAAAAGATAGCTTGTATCTGTTTAAAGCTAGGTGCTAAGGAGCAGTTTGGTGAATAGAAAGAGATGTAGCAGCGGGCTCTTATAGTAAAGGAGAGGTTTTACGTTTCTAGTTTTATATAGTGTCTCTCTGTGGGTCTTCTAGTAGTTATCCTATGTACCACTTTCTTATTATTATTATTATTATTATTATTCCATTAGAGTCCTTTTTCAGTCAGAGACTATGTAGGACTTTGGCCGAAGGCCGTTCTATCTTGGTTTTTCTAATTTACATGGTTTTCTGGTATGGTTGTAAGGGGCTAGACCCCAGCGGCTGTATCGATGACGATACACAGATGACTGATCAAGAGATGCCTTGTAACAGAGTGGATTTGACAAAGAGCTACAAAAGGATGCTAGCTGTACATAAATACAGGAGCGGACCGAAGATGGGCCGAAGTAGAATTAGATGGATGATGACAGAAACCTATAGATGTATCTCGAAGGAATCGCATGACGACAGCTACGCACACAGCGTAGCGCATGTAATAGGCTCAGCCTGTTACAATGGTTCGCTAATATGGTTTTTGGCTTTTCTACAAAAGATAGCTTGTATCTGTTTGTTGCCAGGTGCTAAAGAGCAGTTTGATAAGTAGAAAGAGATGTAGCAGCGGGCTCTTGTGGCAAAGGAGAGGGTTGTGGTTTTAGTTTTATACAGTGTCTCTCTGTAGGTCTTCTGTTGGCTGTCCTAGGTACCATTTTCTTGTTCCTATTCTGGTGCTAGTGATAAAAGCTAGGGTTGCTTCTATACCTATACTAGTGTGGAGTAGTAGTGGTAGTGTGACTGGGCGATGTTTGATTGTTTGTAGGAGCGTTTTTCGATGGTCTTTGTATAGATGACAGTACAGTAGTAGGTGTTCTGGCGTTTGGATGTTTTGGCAGGTGCAGCGATTAGAGTCTCGTTTCTTAAATCTCTTTAGGTAGGAGTTGAAGTATCCGTGTCCTAGCTTAAGAGAGTAGAAGGCGCTAGAGGTTACTCTTTTCGTGTTCTGTGGCATTTGGATGGTTTTGCTGATTTTAAGAGGGTATTTGGCTGAGTAGGTAGCTTTGTTTAGAGCGGTTGCTCTTGCTTTGTATTTCTCATACTCTTGGCGTTGTTCCGTTTGTTGTATCCTTTTGATTGTCGTGCCTAGGTAGGCAATGCTCTTTGTTGTTGATCTGGGGTCCTCTTTGGTTGCTTCTTTTGCTAGGTAGTCTGCTCTTTCGTTTCCAACTATATCTGTGTGTCCAGGTGCCCAGAGTAGGTGGATGTTTGCTTGTTTTCGTCGGATCGTATTTGCCGCTTTTAGACATCGGAGTTGCCAATGCTGTCCTGGGTTATCTGATAGGTTTTTAAGCCTGTAGATTGCTGCTTGGTTATCTGCGTAGACCTCGAATTCCTGGTCGGTTGTAGCGTTCTTTGCTGCGTATTCGAATGCTCGTGTGATCCCTTCTAGTTCGCCGTTGTAGACTAGCTGGTATTGTCCAATATTAACTGTTTCTGAGTAGATCTCTTGCTGAGTTGAGTTGTAGACTGCTATCCCAACTCCTATTCCTTTTCCTTCTTGTGTTTGCGAGGCGTCTGAGTATATTGTCGTGTAATTGTCTAGCCTTGTTTTAATGTAGGCTTGGTGCGCATTTGCCTCCTCTTCTTTGGATTTTTGAGAGACTGTTACGGTATAGTTTAGAGTATCCCATGGCCTAAACCGGTATGGGATAGTCTGCTCTGTGTCTCTTTTGTTGTTTTTAGGAATTGCGTTAGTAATAGTTTGTAGCTGTCTGTGCTGGTTTGGTTTCTTTGAGCGTTGGAGATTCGTTGATTGGATCCGAGTTATTGCCTTTGCAATTGGATGGGTGTTGGCTAGCAGGTTTGCTCTGCTTGCGTAGTTCCGGATAGTTGAGTTAAGCCTAATTGCTGGTGGTAGTAGGCTCGCTTCGAGGCTTGTAGGGACTGTTGGTGCTGTTCTAAACACTCCTAGAGTTTTTCGACAAGCCAGGTTGTGTAGTGACTGTAGTTTCTTTGTAGCGTAGGGTTGGTTTTGCCAGTATATTTGTGCTCCGTAGTCTGACACGCTAGTTACACATGCTAAGTATAGTTGTCTAATAGCGTGTGTTGATAGGCCGAGTTCAATGTTCGCTAGTCTTCCTAGCCTGTAGAAAGCTTGTCTGGCTTGGCTTACACGTATAGACACATGTGATTTGAATGATAGTCGGTTGTCTAGATAGATACCTAGCCACTTGACAGTGTCTTTGTGTTCTATCCGGTCGTTGTTTGGGAGTATGAGGGCTCTTTCTATCCTCTCCTTCTTAGCGGTGAAGTGGATTAGCTCTGTTTTGGATGTGTCGAAGATAATGTCTAGCTGCTCTCCCTTGGCAAAGAGTGTAGCTATCTCTTTTTGCAGTGCTCTTGTATTTTTCTTTAGAGAGGTTGATGACGTAGTGAGAGATAGGTCGTCGATATACGATAGTTGAAAGCTTTGTAAGGCTGGGAATAGGTCTCGGATATAGATAAGAAAGAAGATTGGTGATACTGGGCTGCCCTGTGGAATGCCTGCTGTAATCTTGCTAAATTCTTCAATCTTATTATCGAATGCCAGTCTTAGGGTCCTGTTGGAGAGAAAGGATTTCGCCCAGCAAATTAAGCTAATTGGGAGTCCAAGTTTCTTAAGTCGGTCTAGAAATCGGTTGTGTATGACGTGGTCAAAAGCTCCTTTGACGTCCACGAACACTGTGGAAGTAATTTGGCCTTGCTGTTTTTTGTGTTGAATCTGGTCTACTAGGAGGAGAGCGGCGTCTATTGCAGATTTCTTGTTTCTACCTCCAATTTGTGAGGAGTGTAGGAGGTTTGTGGTTTCTGCTAGACTAGCTAGTCTTTTGGCGATAATTCTCTCTAGTACCTTCCCTAGGCTGTTTAAGAGAGTAATTACTCTATAAGCTTTCGGGAGAGAGTAGTCTAGTTTGGATGGTTTTTTGAGAATTGCTCCTGTAGCTGCTTTCCAGCACCGAGGGTGGTATCCGTAATTAAACAAGATTGAGTAGGCGATGAAGAGGATCTCTGGGTTGAACTTAAATGCAGCGGTTATAATATCTTGAGTAATAGCGTCAGGCCCTGGTGTACTACTTTTAACTTTACTAGAACAGGCTTGTTCTAGTTCAGAAATTGATAGTTGCGGCCAGTCCCAAATGCTCTCTTGATAGTTTAGAAAGCTTGGTAGTTCTGCTGTTGGAGGAGGAGGGAAAAGTGCTTTTCTAAAGGCCTTGCACTTTCCTTTGAATGTTTTCTCTAGTATCTCTCCTTGGATAGGTGGAATCTTTTCGACCTTTTGATCCTTTGTGTATGCCATAGCTTTGTAGATAGACTGTGGGGTTTCTTGTTCTAGAAAGCTATTCCAATGTCTCTTCTTGGCATCCTTGATTGCTCTTGCGTAGGTGTTCCGCGCTATTAAGAAGTCTTTCTTGAATAGATATGCCTCTTGGATGGACAACTGTTGCAATTGTTGTGTGTAGACTCTTTGGCAGTGAGTAAGCTCTCTTCTTAGCTTAGTAAGCTCCTGGTTCCACCAGGGTTTTGGTTTAGGACCTAGTTTGACTTTTGGGATTGCTTTGTCAGCTGCTAGTTGGATAACTTGCGTAATTGCTTCCCCTATCTCCTCTAGTTTGCTTTGAAGCTCCTGGTCCTCTTCTAGAATTAGATTCTTGCAATCTTGTTTCCTAGGGTCGTTTATCTCGCTTATGTGCTGTAGCGTGATGTTGTTTTGAATAGCCTCGTTTAGGGTTTTTTGAAAA